ACTTTTTAAATGATAAGACTTTATTGCTATACCCTGTTTTTTCCCTCAAGTTAGATATTTTCAATTGACTTCTTAGAATAAAAGATGAATATTTTACTCACTTAAAAATCTTTCCCAATTTTCTACCTCCACTTTCTCCCTCCCTACATCTTTCCATTATACAATTTTGGATTATATTAACATTTAAAGTTTAGATTTTTAGAATGATGTAAATCTTATTCCCAATGGTACTATTTTTTATTATTTTTCTTGTACAACTTATAGTATTTTTATTATTCTTCTTGTGCAACTACTTTTAATTTCCTTGGAAATAATAATCACTTAACTTTTTATTTGTTTGGTAAATCTTTTTAAGACTTTAAATGTCTGAAAATGTGTTAACTTCACCGCCATGTTTGACTGGTATCTTGAGTAGCGAATTCTAGATAAAACTAATCTTTCTTCAGCATATTAAAGCCATTATTACATTTCTTCTAGTTTTGGCATTGTTATTGAGAAGTGCAGTGACATTGTGATGTCTGATCTTTTATTTTTGACCTACTTTTTTTTCTGGAAGTAATTATGATCTTGACTTTGTCCTCAGTTTTGAGAAGTGTTGTGGTGCTATATCATGCGGTGTGTGTGTATGTGTGTGTGTGTATGTGTGTGTGTGTGTGTGTGTATACGTGTGTACTGTGCTGGACCTTCAATGGGCCCTTTCAACCTGGCAACTCATGTCTTTCTTTTAGTCAATACTCATAAATTATTTCTTTGCTAATATTCTTTATTTCATTTTCTCCAAACTCTTTCTGAAACTCTCTGAGTGTTGGATCTCCCAAACTCATCCTCTAGTTCTCATATATTTTGTCTCCTATTTTCTCCTTTGTCTTTTGTTCTACTTTGGGGAAATTTTTTTCACCTTTATCTTTGAGTCCTTCTACGGACCTTTTAATTTTGGTTACAGTGTTTAACTTCCAAGAGCTTTTTCTTATTCTCTGAATGTTCTTTTTTACAGCATCCTGGCTTTATTTTATGCATGCAATAGCTTTTGTCTTGAAGTTATGAATTATAGAGATATTTTTGGACAGTTTCATCTGTTTTCTCCATTGACACTTTCTTCTGAAGTTCTTTTTTTCCTGTTTGTCTAATTTTGTTCATTTTTCATTGTGGGAGATTTTTCAAAAATTTTTGTGACCCTTGGTTGTTTATTCATATGTAAGAGTAAGGGGATCAAATGCTGATTAAAGCTCTGTGAGCAGTAGGTGGGCTTGCTGGCTGGAGGTTTTCCCCGTCCGTGACTCGGTCCAGGACCTGGCCATTTTTAGAGGGAATTCAACCATTGGCAACTAAAGATACTTTTTCTCAGTCAAATTAAAACCTTCAAATTTTGGGTGTGTGTGTGTGTGTGTGTGTGTGTACAGGAGTAGAAATCTACCTGAATCATTCTGGGAACTAACACAGTTGGGGCTCTTAAGATGGACAGTGTTGACTGCCAACTTGATTACCCTGTTTTCATCCAAAGTCTTTCTGGTTTATTCATTCCAGAGTATAAGCTTGCAGATTTCTATCAGGATTAGGGAGTAAGTCATCTGGGCTATGAGAAAAATCTAAGGGGTTTCTTATTTATTGTATAGGTGGAAAGTAATGGAAATACTCTTTAAAATGGCAAATTTAGAAAAATTGGATACAAAATAAATGCTCATCAACAGGGACAAGGTTAAGTAAATTGCGGCACAGCCATATCATGACATACTATATAGCCTCTAAAATCATGCTTTAGACAAGATAGATTACATAGGAAAATTGTCGTCTTGTATGGCTAAGTGAAAAAAGGTGAAGGCTATAAGAGGTGTGTAAAATGTGATTGTGTTTTTATTAAAACAAAACTAAAAACTGCCTTACTGTAAACTTTCTATCTCTATAAATATTTTAGTAGTAAGACGAGGGATGTGTTCATAAAATAATCCAGAGGATAGAGCTCTTTAAAAATAAGATGGAGGGCTTCCCTGGTGACGCAGTGGTTGCGAGTCCGCCCGCCGATGCGGGGGACACGGGTTCGTGCCCCGGTCCGGTAGGGTCCCACATGCCGCGGAGCGGTTGGGCCCGTGAGCCATGGCCGCTGAGCCTGCGCGTCCGGAGCCTGTGCTCCGCAATGGGAGAGGCCACAACAGTGAGAGGCCCGCGTACCGCAAAAAAAAGAGATGGAAAATTTCCAAAAAATTTTTGTCCCATCTGATAAATACAGCTGTAAGGAAATAGTTTTTCCAATTAGTCTGGCTATTTATTTTCTACTTCTAATCTTTTCATCTCTATGGCTCACAGATGCTTCTGCATGACTGTTTAGCCAAATTAGGAAGTGGGGTACAAGCTCTCTGATACCAAGTTATCCAGGACCCTGCAGCAAACTTTAGTGGCATGACCTCAGGAAACCAAAAACCCCTGAGGCCAGGAGGCGAGACGTATAAAATGAAGAACGAAAGCGAGCAAGTTGCGAACATCTTTGGAAAAAAACAGCATTTAGGGGGAAAACATTCAGTCTTTTATTATTAGGATGTTAGCAATAAGCATTTTGACAATGCTTTTTGTGAGGCTGAGGAAGTTCTATTCCTAGTTTGCCTAGAGTATTTATCAGGAGTAGATGTTATATTTTCTCAAATGCTAGTACTGCATCTATTGAGACAATCATGTTTTTTAAAAAATCTATTAATAGTGTAAGTACACTGATTTATTTTCAAATTGTAAACCAGCTCTGCGTCCTTAGAATAAATCCCATGTGGTCATGATGTATTAACTTTTTAATATATTGTTGGGTTTGATTTGCTAATATTTTGCTAAGAATTTTTACATCAATGTTCATGAGGGTTATTGATGTTTTATAATGTTTGCCTGGCTTTGGTATTAGAATCTTTTGAAATGACTTGGGAAATATACCTTCCTCTTCAATTTTCTGGAAGAGATCAGGTAGAAATGGTATTTTTCTTTCTTCTTGAATGTTTGGTTGAATTCACTAGAAAAGCCATTTAGAGGACCTTGAATGGCTAGGCTCAAGAGCTTGGCCTTTGCTCTGAAACCTTCACTGGTCCCTATGGTAAAGAGATGATGGCTGAAAAGTGTGTTTCGGGAATATGGATCTGACAGCTGTGGGCAGGAGATATGTTGGCATTGAGGACCTAGACAGAGGCAGCAGAAAAACATTATAATTTCCAAAAGTTCTGCAGATAAAGCTTTGCTCAATTTTTCACAGGCTTGAGGAAACTCCCCACATAAAAGGGAAAGTGACTCCATTTGATGACAACTGCAGATAGGCTGGAAGGTGCCTTTTCTTCACCAAGAGGCTCTAAGGGTGGTGCAACTGTTGTCACTGAAAAATTTATCTTGGTGCCCAAGGTTTCTCGTTAGGCTAAATAAGTCCCGTCCGGCTTTACGCCTGCTTTATGAAGTCCCCAAACCAGAGTTAGATTGCAGCATTTTTAAGTGATTGAAAGTTTTTTAAGAAGGAAAGTGATTATTGTGGTCTGAACGCGGTTTGGAAAAGAATTTCCAGACACAAGGCAGAATGTAAAGAAGATAGAATTTATTAGAAGGAAGGGTCGCTGCCAGAACAGCGAGCTGACTTCCTAGGAGTCTGGGAGAGTCGAGCCCGAACATGTGCTATTGATCAGTTTTTAGAGCCAGAAAACAAAGGAATGGTCCGAGGTGAAAATTTCATTTACTGACTGGTCGAGGCACATATACCTTCCTTCTATAGGTGGGAGTGGGACAGGCCAGATGCGTTTCCTTATTTGGGACAGGTCCCATGGCCCAGGTGGGCGTCGCCCAGGTGGGCTCAGGAATTTCGTAACCATCACGACATGGTGGGGAGGGGGATTAAGAGTCCGGTAGGGGGTGTAACACTGAAACTTTGCAGGCAGGGTCGTCCTTTGTCCTCGAAGCATCCCTGTCCTTGGAGCGCCACAATTATTTCACATTTTCTTTTCTTTACAGGTTTAAAGAGTCATAAAAGAAACACACATCTTAAGGACTCGTTCATAACACAACTCTGTAAATTTGCTGCCTGCCCTCAACACTGGAGATTTGTCCTTTTGCACAAGCACAGTCTTCTGTTCTGGGCATGATATTCTACATATGTCCTTCTACACTGTTAATTATTTCAAGAACAATATTGCAATTTGATCATCTGATTGCAGTAGCCACTCTCAATGAGTTTCACTTTATTGCATCAGCTCTAGGGATAGGATAGGCCAGCGCCAACCAAGGAGCTTAGTAACTCAAACTGCAAAAATAACAATATGTTATTTGTTTTAAGACTGAAGCCATCATATTTTACAAGCTCTTTTCAACTCATGAGTGAAAATACTTCCCCAAATATAAGTTTCATGAGAACATTGTTCAGCATTTTCTTCTGCACGGCAACTCAAACAATGCCTATATGTTAGTAAAGCAGGCACACCTTTCTAATATAATGCAATGCTGTTGGGAGGGAGACACAATTGACATCAATGGAAAATTCAGCGGATTAGGGAATGACTTTCATTTGGCATCAGTGTGACTGACTTGGCATTGTCAATATGGGTGGTGTTATTTTAAACACAGAACATCGTGCACAGTGATTTTCATTGTAAACAAAAAGTCCGTGATGTCGGGGCTTCCCTGCCGATGCAGGGGACACGGGTTCGTGCCCCGGTCCGGGAAGATCCCACATGCCGCAGAACGGCTAGGCCCGTGAGCCATGGCCGCTGAGCCTGCGCGTCCAGAGCCTGTGCTCCGCAACGGGAGAGGCCACAACAGTGAGAGGCCCGCGTACCGCAAAAAAAAAAAAAAGTCCGTGATGTCAAGCTTCCGGAAAATGCCCTTCTGGGAAGTGAACCTACAAAATGTACACAAGGCAAAGGTCTTTTTTTGAAACATCCCTGAAAAAAAAAAAAAGCTCACATTTGGATAATACATATTTGTTAATCTCATCTGTCCCTTTAAATATGTGAAGCGACTTATTCAAATTTTATCGTTGACTCATTTTACAGATGAAAAATTGGAGGCTTGGAGGTGCAAGAGAATTTACCAGGATTATAAAGCAAGTAAGTGGCAAAACTAAGATCGGAACTCAAATCTCTTAACGCTGGCTCCCCTGCTATTACTATTAATGGCACACTGCCTCCCTGGCGTGAAAACACAGATGTGATGATGAAGCCATTCCTAGCTTGCAGAACCCAAAATGCGCACACCTGGTATGTAACAAAGGGCGAGTTAATATTACACCCCTCGTATTGAATAGTTTGTAAACCAACTCCCAAATGTTATAGTTCCACAGAGAAAAAACTGTTAGGTTTTTGTTATTAAATAAGGTTAATTAATTCTGTCCATTAATATACCGTTTTGATGATATCTCAGAGAGCTTGTGTGTAGAATCTTAGGGAAAAAGGAGACAGTCATGGAAAATGTGAAAGTATTTAAATGTATAAACAGGGGTTTATAGGACATTTTTAGAATCCATAGATAGGTACCAGGAGATACAGGGATCCCTGAAATTAAATGTAAATTTTCGTATGTTTTTAAAATTTTTTTGTTCTGTCTTTTTCTGGGCAGATCCTTTGGTTTCATCAAACTTTAAAAAGGAATGTGATTATTCTTGAAGAACAATTACTCTAATAGACACAAAAACAATTGCCCCTTTCCCACACCAAGGCAGCCCCCAAAGATTTCTCCATCTCCTAAGCAATCAGAGAGCTTATTGTCTGTTTGCCGCGTTTATTGGGTACCCATTGAGCACAGCTTTGCCTTGTTACCTAACTGTATCTATAAATAAGAGAGAGTTCATCTTAATCATCTGTGTTTGTTTCAGAGTACCCAGAATCCTCCTGTGTGTAGTCGTAGTGCTTAGTAAATCACGGATTCGTGAGTGTTGACTTTCAACTCTCTGATAACTAAGTCGGATTTTATCATTGACTCATTTTACAGATGAAGAAATGGAGGCTTGGAGCTGGAAGAGAATTTACCAGGATTGTAAGGCAAGTGGCAAAACTAAGATTGGAACTCAAATCTCGTAACACTTTTCCCGGAACACACGAAGGCTTGTGGGATCAAGCTTTTTGTAGCCATGCTATGTAAGGTACTTCGTTAGCAAATTAATTCTGAACACTAAAATGAAGTAACAGTTGTGATTACCAAGTTACAGGAAAACTTTTTAAATTGTCTTAGCAGTATATAGTAACCTAGATGAGCGTTACCCTAGTCAGTGTAATTCCCTTGGCTGGTTATGTGTTTATTTCAGAGATGGTGCTATTGGCTGGAAGTATGTTCTGTTAGAGTTCCTCATTAGGACGGCCAGGGAGGGTGTCAAAATGGTTTTAATCAACATGACAAAATTACTATGGTTCCTGACAGAACGCTCAGTGATTTTTGCTGTTTCAGAATATTCAGTCTATCCTCAAGGATGTAAGTTTTGCTATAACAATATGTGAGCAAAAGACCGCCGTATGCCCCCTGAACCTAAGTCCACAAAAGGACCTCCAACTTGTGTGGGGTGTAGGATACGTTGGAATAGGTAAATAACCTCTCAAGGGTACTTCTTTAATGAGATTATGCTCACCTGAAGGCGTCGTGCTGGTATGCTTGTTTATAAAATATTGCTTGCGTTTGTGGGTTTCAGATTAACGAATGGTATTCGAGCATTAAAAAGTGCCCAACTTTGTGCTACACATGGGGGGGAGGGGTGGGGGTGGGACAAAGATAACCAAGGCCGAATTCTTACATTAGAGAAGCTTTTATTTCATTCAGTCAGGAAGGTATACACATAAAAATAGATAATCTCTATATAACGGGGTAGATAAGAGACACATGAGCCAAATTGGGTCAACAGGGAAGGCTTCCTGGAGGAGGTGACATGTGAACCGAGTCTTGAAAGAAGAGTAAGAGCCAAGTGAGGAGAGATGAGAAGAGCACACAAAGCAGAGGGAAGAGCATGAGCAAAGGCACAGCTTTGTCTGGGAAGCAGCAGTTTGTGGAGTGGGGTGGAGATTACAAACAGTCAGGTGTTACCAGAGCGTGGAGTTTGGGCTGGGGAATTGCAGGGTAGAAGAGAATTGAGTAGCAGGGGTCGGGTCATGGTGGTCTCGAGCCTGAGCCTAAGAATACCGGCTTTCATTCTGTCGGCAGGCAGCAAGAAGTCATCTAAGATAGGGAGTGCCACAGTCATATTTGCACTTTGGAAAGATGACTCCATGGTTTGAATTACTCCAAGCCCCTGCAGGCCATTGCTGTGATAAGTTCTGTACACTGACTAACTAGCAAAACACCGAGCAAGCATCATCTAAAGCCACCTGACCCCACCTAATACATGTCACAATTTGCGGCATCATCTGGAGTGACTCTGTCCCTTAAGCTCCAGATAATATGGGCTTGAACTTCCATCTCACATTCTGTAGAAAGTCCACGGTCCCCGTTCTAAGCGTCCCTGGGGGGCTTCTGCTGTCTAAGCTCTTGCAGCTACTGAGTTCAGTTCAGTTCCTGGATTGTTCTGTAAGTCCCTTCCCTGTCCTGCTGCCACGTCTACCCAGATCTGGGACTGGGCTCCTTTCCAGGACGTTCATCAAAAGCCACTCACACAAAGTGTGAAGCCACACACCTTCCTGAAGAGCTGAAGAGGTGGAAGGGTTCACAGTGCAGAAAATGTCAGCGGTCCCAAATTGCCTGTTAGACGTTCCTGCTGTCCGGCAGCTGGAGCCCCAGAGGTCCGTGCACGCCACGTAGCTCCACCCTCTTCTCCACCTTACTGCTTCCCAGCACTTCCCCACCCCAGTCCTGAGGCCTCTTTTCTAGAATGCAGAGCAATTCAGCAGTCTGTCGCTCACTCCCCAAACCCAGCCCAGGACTTCCTTTGTCAACTCCAAAGATTTTCCTTCTCTCACAGCAGTATAGAAATTTCCTTTCCCAGGACATTCCCAGCCCTCCTGCCAAGGCAAAAGAAGCTACAGTTAGTTTGGGTTTTAATTCGTCTTTTTCTTCACCTTCATGTCACTGGATTTCTAAGAGAACTAGAGATTCCGTCGAAACCGGTGTGCCGCTTTTGGCGAATTGGCACTATTAATGAGGTCCATGGAAATCTTATTTGTTTCCTAGTAGAGATAGTGCGCAGAGTGCTGGGCACACAGTGCCTGCTGCAGGGGAGGGAGAAGCCAGGGAGAATGGCACGTAGCCTCTAGTCCCAGCCTCGTCCTCTCTGGAGGTGACCGGATCCTGAGATAGGAAAGGTTGCTTCTCTTTTCTGAATGGAAACAGGTACCGGGGCTGACGTCTGGGAAGAGGCTGTTTTCTGTTTCTAAGCTGTTTGTTAATATTTGGCTTGTGTTCTGTGACATGCATGGGTGCCCTTCAGAGACTCACCTCACTTAAAGAGCCTTTCCTCGAAAAGAGGACAGAAAAAAAAATTCCTTTCCTCAGATTTTGGGTCCTAGGAGGCACTTGTCTTTCAAAACAATGTTCTTTTTTTTTTTTTTTTAATATATATATATTAAGGCTCACGAGCTCTTGTTGAATTTCTAGGCACATTAGGAGAGTAACTGTTACTTTGTGGGTCATTGTCTGATGAATGGGGTCTCCTTGCTGGGTAGATATAGGCAGACATGTTCTGCTTCCCCAGCTGGGACCTGTTACCAACGGTATCAGACAAGTACCTGACTCAGTGACCTTGGGATCCCTTTCAACTGAGAAATACCAGGATTCTGAAATTTGTTGGGGGAAATAGTTCCGATAATCTGCCAATGCCTTTAAAGACCGGGTGGGTAACAGGGAACATATCAATACATAGCAGTTGGATAGATGGAAAATGCTGGATCCTGTCTAAAGCCGTTACATTGAAAAAAACATTGTGCGACCTATAGAAAACATGCCTGTAGAGGACATTGCTCAAGAGCTAGCACAGAACTCTGTACAAAAAGGACCCTGCCAGGTAGGCGGACTCCCTTTGAATGGGTGAAAAGCTTGCACTTCTGTGGACTGGGATTTATGCTCCAGGCTCGTACCTTCTTCTAGATGCAGACTTCCTTTGTTAGGGAGGAGAAGCGTGACTTTCCCTCCGGCTAGCATGCAGCCTCATTGAGTTTCTCCACTGATGCTGCAGTCATGCCTGTCACCCCTGCCCAGTCAGGGGGCAGCCAAACCGATACCCGCAGGTAGAGAGCACAGCTGGGATGGAAACCAGCTAGCTTTTCCTGGAGGAGGGGACCAACTATCATGACGCATTCTCCACTCCAGAGACACGGCTTGTACACGTACTGTGCCCTCACCATCCCCATGGCCGCTGCATGTGGAGTAGAGCTTTCTTCCATCCCCCCCAGCCCAAGCCATGGCCATCTACCTGCCTTACTGCCATAGTCTCCTAACTTATCTCTCTGTTTCCACCCCTGCTTCCCTGCAGCCTATTCTCAACAAAGCAGTCAGCACGATCCTTTTAAAATGAGATGTCCCTCTACTGCCCCCAAACCCTCTTAAGTGGTCCCATCGCTTAAAATCCCAAACCCCAACCACATCCCTAGAAGTCTACATCACTTGGTCTTTGCTGCTCCCTTCTCCCTTCCCTCTCTGCCTTGGTCACCTCCACCTACATGGCCACCTTGCTTTATCACAGATGAAACAAGCATGCTCCTGCCTCAGGACTTCTGCTTCTGCTCTGTCCTCAGTAGGCCACTTCCACAATTCTACCAGGTTCTCTGCCCAAGTCACCTCCTTGGAGGGCTTCCTTGATGGCTGTTTCTAAAATAGCTCATTCTATCATTCTCTGCCCTCTATTCTGGTTGTTTTTCTTTGGAGTTCTTATCACTCCCTGACATATTAAATGTCTGTTCCATTCCCGACTCCCAGCTAGAATGAGCACCATGAAGGATGGGGCTTTGGCCTGTTTTGTCCTCCACTGGTTCCCCAGAATCCAGAACAAAGTATGGCACATAGGTGGTATCGAACAAATGCATGAAATAAGGACAAATGAAGTGTGTGTGTGCGCGCGTGTGTGTACGCATAGAGGCGGTACCTTTTGAAGGGGTTGGTGCATATATATCTTTCCTCAATTTCATTAAAAGTTCAAGAGCTTTTTGAGTTCCCTCCTAACTGATGATCAATTTAGGATATGCCAATTATAAAACTGTCCTAGAACCTTTCAGAAACTCTCACTGTAAGTACCCTGACACCAGAGAAGGAATGCCAGTGCTTATCTAGTTATCTAAAATCATCCTCCAGCATTTATAAGCCCTTCTCAGGAAATCACAGGGCTATTTGTTTGGGGTCAGGTAAAAAGGAAAATTTGCTTTTAGCTTTAGAGAAGTAGTCCTTGGCAAATATCACATGTAAATGGACGAATTTAAGAAAACACACATGACTATGGGTTTAAACCATACTCTCTGCCCTCGATCAACCAGTAGGCAAGAAATACCTCTAAGTAAGAGCCTAGAGCATTAGTTAAATGCTCAGACCCAATATTTATCATTCCTCCACATCTCTTAGGTTATGGGCCCATCACATTTGCTGAGCGTGATAAATCCAAAGATCGCGCTAACCTCACCTCCTGGAGCGGTACAAAGTTGAACATCTTCCCCCCCCCCACTGATTAAACAGACCTCTCTGCATAACCGGTGAACTTAAACCAGTCACCTGTGCGCTTTAATCAGCAGAGGGTCACACATACAGGGATTTCTGCAGAGCTCTTGGGTACAGCACGATTGAATTTGATTTCTTGGAGTGAAGAAAGATCTCCAAATGCTAGCAGTTCGAGGGGAGACCTAAGAGGGAACGCTTGCAAATGGGATTGAGTATGAGTGCAGACCAAAGTCAGATCACCAAATGGACACAAGTCAAGAATTTTAACTTTTTAAAGAAATGAATTATGATTTTTTTGGCACTGGAGAACAGCAGCTGTCACTTGAATAAAGCACTTTATAAGTGTTGCCTCTCTGTCTTAGGAGGACCCTATGCAAGTAGGTGTTATGATTTTCAGAGGACAGAAGTTTGGATGATAAGCAAACTACCCGTGGCCACAGCTAGTCAGGTGGAGGAGGGAACAAACTTACATTCCTGTCACTGCGAAGCTGGTATTCACTCAACATTTCACTCATGAAGTGCATCTTAA